GGTTGTTTGGACATAGGGGTTGTTTGGGTTGGTGCCCAAGCCTATTCCATGATGGAATAGGGCAAAGTGTGCACTATATAAGTGCAACACTTTGTGAAATTAAAAATTAATTCATTTCAATCATTTTGATAGAAACCCCAGCCTCCTTTTCTCTCCCACGCCAGATTTTATTTTTGCTTGAAACAAAATTTGCTTGATTTTGTTCTTGGTTCTTAAGGCTAAAGAGGATCTAGCAAATCCCTTTTTAGTTCCTTAGGGTTATCTTCGTTTGGAGTAACGGTGGTTCGATCCTACCCTTGGATCGGTAGTGAAACCCATTCAGAGTTAAAGTTAGAGGAGCCTCCAAACGTGGGTATGGTTTCTTAACTTTAAATTGATTTCCTACAGATTTGTATTTAATTCATAGATTGTTAAATTTGTGCCCTGATCTTGGTTCTAAGGAACAATCCGTGTTGTTTATGATTTTTGTTTCTGCTGCCATGACTTGGTCGTTTCCTAACATGATCAATCTGGCTTTCTAAAACATGTGATTTGATGAGCATTTCATCAATATACACCTTCATGGTTTTGCTGATTTGCTCGGTAAACATTTGGTTTACCAAATGCTGGTAGGTCGCCCTAGTGTTCTTCGGTCCCAATGGCATGACCCTGTAACAATAAATTCCCCAATCAGTGATAAAAGATGTATGCTCCTCATCAGGCTGATACATCAGGGTTTGGTTGTATCCCGAATATGTATCCATGAAGCTTAGTAATACGTTCCCTGCTGTCGCATCTACTGACTGATCAATCCAAGATAGCGGAAAACTACCCTTGGGACATGCTTTGTTAAGGTTTATGAAATCGACGCAAGTTCACCACTTGCCATTCGATTTCTTCACTAAGACCAAGTTGGTGACACTACAAGAAAACTGGCATTCTGCGTCTAGCAAAATTAGACGCAGAAAGTCACATTTAGAAGCTAAGCCATTTTTAGCGTCTAAATTTGGTTGTCGCCCCTTTAGTTGCAGTAGGCTGGTCGCAGATTCATAGCGCGTCTATATTGTGGTTTAGATGCAAAAAGTTTTTTTTTTTGTGACTAGCAAAATTGTCGGTAAATGCTGGTCAAAATAGTCCCCCAACTTAGACGCTAAAAGTTCAAGGGTAATTTGGTAAAATTGTATAGCGACTAATCAATTAGTTGCAAAATGTCAGTTTTAGTGTCTAATAATTTGTCGCGAATCCCACACAAATTAGACGCCAAAGGTGTAAGGGTAATTTCGTAAAAGGCTTTCACAACTATTTTATTAGTCGATGAAGGTATCTTTTTGTGACCAAAATTAGTGGAATTGTAACTTTTAGACGCTGAATGTAGAATCCAAACGGTTTTCGCAACTATTTTATAGTGGCCGAATGTATATTTTGGTGACCAAAATTTAGTAGTTAATTATAGTAATTTTAGATGCTGAATGTGGAATCTAATAGGTTTTCGTGACTATTTTAATGGCCGAATGGATCTTTTGGTGACCAAAATTTAGTAGTTAATTATAGTCATTTTAGACGCTGAGTGTAACCAATAGGTTTTTATGACATTTATTAGTGGCAAATTTACTTTTAGTGACAAAAATTTAGTGGTTAATTGTAATCTTTCAGATGCTGAATGTGAAATCTAAAATGTTATCACGACTATTTTTTAGACGCTGAATATGGAAGCAATTACTAAATTACTTTTTGCTACTAAAACATTAGTTGGAGAATGTGTTTTTTAGAGCATTTCATATTGACCTCCAGCGGAATGCAATTGTAAATGACTTTTTGTACTAAAAATAGTGTGCAGATGTGTTTTTTTTTAAGCATTTCGTTTGACCTACATTATACATCAACATGAACAAAATAATGGACACAATATAAAAATCTGATCATAAATCAAAATCATATTTTCATACATATATATATAGTCCATACATGGATTTTTATGCATGATGAGCAATAAAAATCCAATGCACTATCACATGTGCATAACCCAAAAGAATAGCATGCACCCACATTTTCTTTTTCTACCTATCTATCTGTGCATAACTAACAAAAAAATGCCCACCCAGACACCATCTAACACATATATGAAACAATCCTAAAAAAATGGTTCTACCCCTGTCAAAATATCATTGTCCATACAACACAAAAATAACATCAATACGTTAGCATGCGAGTGTCACCAGTTCCGGTATTTGAAATAGCTGTAGCTGATGAGGACAAGTCTCATCAGTTCGAGAAGGCAAGTGTGTCGAGTTGGAGCTTTATCAGATTTCTCTAGTTCAAGGGCTATAGTTAGCTGCTTCATCATCTCTAACAAGACCAATTGTTGGTGTTCAAGGCTTTTTATTTTCTCTTTTGTTGATCAAATAAGATTAGCTGGTCCTTCAACTGTTTAATCTTATTTCTTGTTGTTGTACACTACACCTTAACTCTGCTTCTACTGCAGTGGATTGATTCAATCTGTGAAAATGCAAAATTCTTGTTAAACCGGAAGCTTTACCTAGAACTTCCTCACATATCTCAGCTTCTGTTTTTTCACTTTCCTCTGCTTGTGTCCTCTTGCAGCTCTACATTTTTTCCTACCATCAATGAATGCATAATCATGTCAACCAACAAACTAAATAGCAACATAAAAGAATACTACAGCACCAAACAAAAATAAGTCTGATGAAGTAGAGAAGCAAGTATCTCAAACATATCAATCTAATACTAAAAAAATTTCTAACATAAAGTTTTTCTTACACATATAAGCAACAGATTTACATTCACAATCATGCATAAACATGCTAAGTAATTGGAAAGATAAGGGCTGATACATTTTCTAAATATCATAATTCTGCCAGAGGCATATTTATAAATTTGTGTTTTAATTCTGCAAGAGGCAAAACAAGCCATATGTATAAATCTGTACATATGCATTTCCCATTTTCAAAGTGTTTTAAATCTGTACTACTCATCAAGTGTATAAATCTGTACATATTATAAATCTTACATATGCATTTCCCATTTCCCATACATGATCTTCAACAATCATGAGCTGAATATTTTGAAAATAACAAAATCATTTCACAAGATGATGTGCACAATTTTAAATCATTTTGATTTAGGTGGTTTCAATCAAGCTGAATCTCAATTCCATGGAGGAAGACTTCACACACACACACACACACAAAAATTAGGAAAAAACAAAAATCAATTATCCGTCCAAGTCCAGCGATAGACATTCAAATATATATTCAGACAATATAATATCTACATCATTAATCCAAACTGTTAAGCTCAATCCAAACATATTATAAACCATGAAACAGGTTTTTCCTACTAGAAGAAACTCCAACTTTCAGCTTTAAAAAATACAAACTGTTAAGTTCAATCAAGAGAAACAATATAAGACAAGTTAAATTTCAGCCTTATCCTGCAATGTTTGTAACATATCAATAGCAAACCACAGCAAAGTTATAAAAGTTTGGTAAGAAAAACTAAATGCCAATATCAAACAAATGCACAAGCAACAACATAATTACAGGTGATCAAAAGATGAAAGAGAAATGCAATGAGACTCAAATTAAAACAATAAAAGCATAGCAGTATGGAACAGTTACGAAAAAACAATACATTTATACCCAATTGAATGGTAAGACATTTCATATATTGATAATTGAAAGATGATCAACTTACATATAGCTCTCTTGCTTGTTCATTAATCCACCCTTTCTCGGCGCTCCAACGAGTGTCATGAAATAATTGTATAGGACCGATAGATTCCCCAAGTTGGTGCGCCTTAACAGTTCATATCGTCGTGGACCATAAATTGAAATAAAATTAGTAAACAGGAAAACAAAGTTGTATATTTGTATAGGTGAATCATATTAAATACCTTTTCCTTTTTGTACTAGATAAAGTTCTTGGAACCATAGCGGTGGTTACACCTCATCTTCGACCGGTTCTCAGAATAAGTTTTTCAAATATAAAAACATAGAAAGCAAGTTCCTATCCTTTTAAAAATGACCAAAGGCTAGTGCAAACAGAATTGTTTTCAATATAAACTTCTTATTGACAACTCCATTAATGATTATGACATAGATCAGAGACCAAAGGTATGCTTTGGAAACTACTTGATTTCCCGAAATAATGTGATCAAATGGTAGATATCTTATCATATCTAATTCACAACCATTGTGGCAAGTGGTGCAAGCACGTAAACAAGAAGGATAACAGGTAGCCTACAATATTCAATTACTATAAAAGACAGAAAAAAGGTTAGTTACTTCTTCAATTTCGTAAAATAAATCATAATAATTGATTTTCACACCTTAAGTGCTTAAACCACATAATAAGTATGGACCATGGCGGAGTGAAATCGAAGATCAATTACTTTCTTCAATGATATCTTTTGAGAGATTAAAAATTTGTAGGGCTCTAAGATAAACTCAAAAGCACTCCAATGGCCAAATATTCTATATGAAAGATCTTTTTTATTTTATTAGATTTAATAAGTATGGCCTAGAGAGAAAAATGAAGGAAAGCTTAAGAAAATTCAGCCAAAAAAAAAATATTAGTTTTACAAAAATCTGTGGAAGAAACCAATATTTAAATTTGCAAAAAATTTGGAAACGGTCATATGCTTTATTTTTCCAGCTTAGGAATATTTTATAGATACCAATTTGGATGGAAGCCCTCTTATAGCTAACATTTGCAAAAAAATTGGAAACGGTCATATGCTTTATTTTCCCAGCTTAGGAATATTTATAGATACCAATTTGGATGGAAGCCCTCTTATAGCTAACATATTGACTTTTACATGTTATACGTTTTAGTGACTTGTTGACATGGACAATTTATTCCGCTTACTACTCATCATTTCATTAGAAAAAGAACTACATACAGATACCAACTATTTGTTATATACACAAAATTTAACTCCAACATAACTTGTCCCCCCTTATTGTTCTTTTGCAATGCCTTCTTTGTATAACTAGTGCTGATTATATTTCCCTTTTGTAGCAAATTTTACGCCGATATTCACAAATAGCTTTGTTGCCTACAATATCTGTTTCATAAATATATGGAGAAGACTATTCATTTATAAGGCATATATGCAGTCATCTGATTTCTTATCTCAAAAGATCATAATCCTAATAGCCAGAAAATAAAAAGTCTTGTTCAAAATAACCTTCAAATGCATGTTCCTCTTTATTGATTAATAAAATCTTTTCTTCAAACACATTTTCTTCTTCTTGATCTCTCAATTTACTTCAATTCTTTCCCTATGTAGTTACATACTGAAAAATCTATTTGGCTAGGAGAAGGTACATATGGCTTCTTCTAATGAGGTTGTGAAAATCATTCTTCAGATAGTGTATTTCATACGGGTTCTGATTTAGAAGATAGTGAACTTATTTTCTCCACTGTTCACTTAAGGTGCTTGATTTTCTTCTTCATCTTATTATTCATTATTTCCCCATAAATACAAACACGGCCCCAATGCAAGTGAATCCCAATACTGTAAGGTTTTGGTAGCAATGTTACTTCTGATCAACATGGATAAGTACAGATATTTGTATGAATCTAAACTCTAGGAAAATAGGATACAAGATGGAGTGATTCAATCTTACCCCTCCTTTGAAAAGATATAACACTTTGGCTTCGTTAAAGGATTGATCTTTCCAAAAGGAAGAGGAGAAATAATCCTATAGCCATTAAAGGTAATGAGATTGCTAGGAAATGGGTGATCCATAGAGAAAACTATGAATAACAAGATGATGTAAAAAATCTGGCGGCTAAGAGCGCTGCATCAAGGAAAAAGGTTAACCATTTTCCAAATGAAAGCCCTTGTGAATCTCTTCCTTCTGATGATAACACTTGAGCTTGATTCTCTTAGATAATTTGCATAATAGCCACTGGAGAAGGCACTTGATACCTTTCTAAATCATAATATATCTACTAATCTTAATCTATAACAAGAATGCAGGACAAAGAATAGAAGAAAATCAAAAGATAAAGATGTAGAACAAGTGTTTGAAGAAAAGACCACCTAAAGTAGTAAATAGGAAAAAGGCAATTGAAGTTTATTCTTAACTAAACATTTCCTCTTTTCCAACTCAGGATGCTTTCCAACTGAAGAAAAGGAAACCTTCGCAAACCATATTGAGAAGGTATAGTAAAGATAGGCATCAATTTGTCATGTGTATTGTATTACCTGTTGATAATTTCCTGCCTAAGACAAGGGTTAATAAGGGGGAATTGTGAGAGCTATAGTTCTATGTACATGTCAAGTAATTGTTATGTGTATAACATTCTTTTTAATTCAAACATTTACATATTGAGAAGAATAAAGAATAGACATCAACATGTAAGAATCAATATGATTGCCAATAGGAGAACCTTTCTTCAAATACTATGAAGGCTTTTCTTCAAATTTTGTTATCTATAAATGCCGCTAATGAAGAATAAATAGTCTAACACTTATAACTTCAACAAAAGTCTGAGCACAAGTTTCTTCCAGAGAATTCTCTAGAATCAATTCTTTTGATTGAACATTGTTTCATTTCCTACATTTTCTCATTGACCATTCTTATTAAACCTGATAAACTAGAGTAAATCATATATGAGTAAATCCGACCACAAAATAAACATGGACTGAAATAGGCCAGAAATCCTAATATTTCCTTCTCTTTTCAGACATACAAAATGACTAGCATGGAAAGGCATGGATGAAAATTAAAACTCAAATATTGACTAACCATCAAGGGAAGCTTTAAGAGGGCCAACGAACTCAGGAAAGTCAATTTCTTCAATTGCTTTTAATACATCATCAGCATTAATAGTTTGCCTCTTTGACTCCTTGCATATATCATTAGCCCTGCAAGTAATTTTCACCCCATAAACACTAGCTCACAACAAAAATTCATACCCAAATTCTCTTAACAAAAACTTTGTACTAAAAACACCAACGTCATGCTGCAAAAACCACATAAGAGCTTCCATATAGTCATCAAATCCCAAGCAGTTAACTTAATTTAACCAATACCCACTTGACAAACCTTCCAATCATCAAACTTTCGAAGAAAAAAATTGAACTTTTGCGATAAAATTTCAAAATATACAAGATTCACCTAAGAAGTAAATATAAAAACTCTAAATAGGTGAGTTGAAACAATAAGATGGTTGGTTATTGCTTACGTGGCGGAGAGGTAGTGGATAAAGATAGGGGCGCTTTCGGAGAAAGCGAGAAGGGAGTCTTTGTTGACGGTGATGTCGGTATCGGGTGAACACTCGTTGAGCTTATCCTTAACCACTCGGCGCATGATAGTCTTGGGTAGCTCTTCCATCTCTGATACCACTTTCTCCGTTTCCATCTCTGAAGAAACCTTTGATTTTTCGTTCAAATATTCTGTCAAAACAGGGTGGGTTCTCCATCAGAAATCAAATATATTCCATCAAATATAAAAACGTAATTTACTAATCAAGAACACAAATTACTGTAAACAAGAAAACGGTATGAGGAGAAACATGATCTTTCTCAAAATCACCTGTAAATATTGTACGTTACCAGTTTCCTAACACAATACATACCAAGTCTGACGTGGTTCATCAATCCATCAAATGAGCACCAACTGAAACTTCTTCTATTGGGGTAATCGCCAAGGATTTGCGTGGAGAAGAAATTGGGAATTTGGAGAAACAGGGAGGGATTTGCGTGGAGAAGAGAAGAGGTAGGTAAGGTTATGAGATTGGGAATTTGGGGAAATAGGTAAGGATTTGCGTGGAGAAGATTGAGAATTTGGGGAAAGGCTTGCCTTATATAGGTTAGGGTTTTCTGTAAATAACTTTAAAAATAAGACTTGTAATTAGTTATTTAATTTTTAAATATAATTATATTTTGTAAACACATCAACTTGCAACTAAATTTTTAGTTAGGAAAGAATTAATTATAGTTGCAAGACTAGTGGGAACAAATAATTTGGAGGGAAGATGAATTTTTCAATTTAAATTGGCAACTAAACCGAACTTAGTTGCTGTATATAATTTTTTGCAACTATTGTTAATATGAACACAAATATTTGTTGCTAAAAATGCCTTGGGGCCCTTGTAATTATTGTCCAAATATGGGATATTTTGGTAATTTAATTTTTCTGTAACTAATCATAATAGTTACTAATATATTCTTAATTAATGGCAACTAATTTAGCTATTAACGGGTAGTTGCAAAAAAATGTTTTTTGTAACTAATAATGTAGATGCAAAATAAAATATTTTAGATGCAAATTGTCAAATTATGGAGAGAAAAATATCCCACCAGAAATTGCAACTAAATTTATTAGTCACTAAAACAACTTGTTCTGCAACTAACAAAATAGTCGCAAAACATTAACTTTAGACGCCAAAAGTTGAAATATATGGACCCTAAAATTGAATCACTCTTTGCCCGACTAATGGCAATTTAGTTGGTAAATGTAGCCTTTTTGCAACTAATTCTAGTTAGTTGCTAAAAAATTGGTTGCAAAATGTAGTTTTTCTTGTAGTGTGAGCCAATCCAGATACTTTACTTCTCTTATAAAGTTGATGTTTAGGAGCTTATCAACTTCATCTTTGAGCGTTTGAGATTGCTCAGAATCCATAGATCTTCTCTTTTATCGTATCGAGCGAGCTTCTGGGTCGACATTAAGTCTGGCACATTATCTCAAGGCTAATCCCCACCATGTTCGTGTGAACCCAAGCGAACACATCAAGGTTCTTCTTCAGAAACCCCATAACTCGCTGCTCATATTGCTCCTGGTTTTCAGAATACGAGTCGGGTCCTCCTCTCTGATAGGAACCTCTTGCAGCTCTTCTGTTGGCCCCACTGTGGGCTCCTGTTTGTCAATGAAAGGATCAATTATGTCTTCCAATGATCCGAGCTTTGGCTTAGACTTAGCTATTATCATAATCTTTGGCAGTGCCCATTTTTACGCTGCATTTATCGCTCGATTGTAGCATTCCCTAGAGTCTTTTCGACAGCTCCTAACTACTCTGATTCCATTTGGAGTTGGGAATTTCACTACCTAGCACCGCACTAAGGTGATTGCATTCAGGTCGTCTAGTAGCGGGCTTCCTGGGATGACATTATAGGTGGTTGGGTAATCAACCACTAAGAATTCTACCATTACCATCATTATTTGAGGCTTTTCCCCAAGGGTTACTGGCACCTCCATTATTCCTTTGGGGACCAAGTTGTCTCTGGTGAATCCCTATAGTGGTGACAGACACGGTTTCAAATCTTGCTCGATGAACATCATTTCACGGAAGGCTCCCAAAAAGATAATGTTAGTTGCACTGCCATCGTCGACTATTACCCTGACGACTCTAGCATTGCCTATCCTCACTGCGATTACAGTCTCGCAAAGGTACTGAAGATGGTAATTTCGGTTGCAAATAATACATCAAATTCAAGCGTTCTTGGTGGAAGAGCAAAAGATTGTGAAGAAGATTTTGAAGATCCAAAAAGCAAGGGAAAAGAAAGCTTCAAGGAGCTAGAAAGTGGGAGAATGAAAGCAAAATTTTCTGGATTTTAAGAAATGAATGAGAAACTGGAAACGTTGTTTTGTTTGTATTGAATTCCATATTTTTATTGGGTTTGAATTGACAAAATTTCTTATATATATATGCACTGTAATTTTACACTCTGGATTCTTATTTAAGTAAATTGGTAATGCTAATACTTAGTTTTATTTGGGGTTAAATTGACAAATTATCTAGGACAAATTGATAATTTTAAAAATCAAACGGTGATTTAAGACATTATATTTAATAAAAAATTAGAGGGATAAATTGGTAGGCATATCAATAATTTCATATTTAAAGAGGGTATATTAGTAATTGACTATGTTGACATGACATAAAAAAAATAATAATAAGAAGTCAAATAATAAAGGGTACTTTCGTCTTTACAGTCAAATATTAATAGATTTTTCTAGCAGAGCATAACGGTGGGTGGGAAAGTGTCATTTTGAAACTTAACGGGTGGGAAAGTGTCATTTCACCAAACCTTGGGTGGGAAAATGTCATTCTCCCTGATTAAAATTATCTCATAAAATTTGTGGTTCATAGGATTAACATAAAAACAAAGAGGAGAAATGGAAAATTTAATCAATTAAAAACAAACGAATGTTAAATAAAGACATAATGATCCATCCACTACCATTGAATAAGAGAAATTAATTGAAAGAATTAGCATGTCAAAACATTGAGAGAAAAATTCAAGATTCCGTCTAATATTTCATTAATTCTCTCGCAGAATATGATGCATTGAAAAATTAGAATAGAAAAGTCTTATAGCTACAAAAATTTTCTCTCTTCTAAAAAGTAAAGAACAATATCCCTTGAATTTTTAATATATCACATTCGATTATGTGAAATATCGATTTTGGTATATTTAAAAGTTTGAAGAACAAATAAATTTATATATCATTGTAAATTAAATACAAAGTTCAATAGCATGATTAATTTAAATCTTATAATTTTATTAAAAAAAATCGATCAAATGATGTTATTATATATAGCTTAATCATTTCAAGTATAGAAGTATAAGAATTTCGTTAAAAAAATCATTCATGTGTGATCATAAGAACGTAAATGATGAACCCCAATCACAGAATGCCTTGTGATCTCACTTTTGCCTTATCAAAGACAACTCAATGAACTTGCTAATTCACATTCAAGAGATCCCAAAGGAGAAGAAGCAGTACTGGCTCATACAATATATCCTATTGCAGTAGCTCAACAATTTAACTTAATCACTCAGAAACATTAATAAAACACTCCATAAAATCACTTTTAGGCCAGTCAGTATAACCCTAACCCTTATCGCTCTTCAAACTCAAAGAACCTTAAAAAGTAAATAAAAAATAATCAATTACTATAACCCCTCTAGAACTTGCAACAAGTTAAAAAAAATGCTTGAGAAAAAAAAAATCTTATGATCTGCCAAAAGTACACCAAATTATCCTTTGTGAAACCCTATAGAGTCTAAAATGAAAACGACCATAGTCCCTCATTTCATGAGAGAGAGAGATCCAAACCCTAAATGAACAAACCAATCACAATAACCTTAATTTTACTAACAAAAAAACACAAGTATGCTACCTTTACCGTCAAATACAATAATGAGAAAACCAAAGCCTGATCACATAAAATAAAGAATATAATGAATTCATATGAGTCCATTCAGAAAACCCTCTAAGAAAAGCATGAATTGTGAGAAAAGAAGATGTTTGGATTCCAATAGAGAGAAATACAACTGATTATATATATATAAACTCATTGACAACAATTACATTAAGATATGAAAACCTTTATTATTATATTTTAGAAAATTGGAACCTGCAACCAAATTTGAGCCTAGAGCTCTTTAGGGCAATGCAAAGAAATTTGAACCTCAAGCTCTTTAGGGAGGCTACATGGTCGGGTACATAAGCAAGAACTTTATTGAACAAGATAACAGGCTTCTTCAGTTTGATCTTATACTTGAACTCTCCATTGGGTCCATCTTTTTCCTTGAAAAATTGCATATTAAACCCTCTTCTGAGTTGTTTCTCCCCGGAAAATTTGGCCCAACCAGCCAAAAGAACAGATTCTTTTGTAGTGTCCGTTGCGGATGATTAAGTGAAAGCTCCAGACTTTCCCTTCTTCACATTCTACCTCAAGGTCTTTAGCATTATGACCTTGTGGAATAGGATCAAGATAAGCGAGACAACTTGTTTCCATCGCCAGTTTCTTAATAACATTATGACCTTGTGGAATAGGTCTTTAGCTTTGAGATTCAGATCCCCATTTTGTTCGTCTTCAATCTCTCAAAACCCATCTTCGAAAGTTAATGTTTTATTTTTGTTAGCTCACTTACACAACCTCATATCTTCAAGCTCCAAAAATGAAGTTTTGTATTCTTTCAAAAAACCCCTTGAATGATCCTTACTTGCTAAATTCCTCGAAGAAAATTGTCCATCAGGTAGCTTTACTTTGAATGAAGCATTGTACTTTTTTTATTACATGATTAATTCGAAACCCCTTTCCCCAATTTCATCATTCACTACTTTGTTTATTGCACTAGCTAAGAAGAAGCATCATTATGAAGTGATAGTGCCAAAAACCCGAGAAAAAGAAGACATAGACACGGCTATGGCAGATACTAACAAAAACGCAGAAGCAACAGAGCCCAACTCTCCAGACTCGAGAGAGTCAAATGACTCGGACTTAGACTCAGACTTAGAAGATGAAGATGAAGCACAGCAAAAATTATCGAGTCCCAGCTCGCCAATGAGCCCTCTAACTATAGAGTCCATGTTAAAGTACGTTTTTATATCAATTTGAATATGAACTTCAATACCCAGTTCTTGGATTTTTTTTTTTTTTTTTTAAGAAATAACATTGTTTTGCTTGTTTATTGTTTTTGTTGGTGGTTTTAGTACATAAGGGTTTTGAGGAAGATGGGTGAGATTGAGAAGCTGAGACAAACAAGAGAAGCTATGAATGAGATTTTTTCCATTGACTCCTATTATGTGGCAAGAGTGGGCTCGAGATGAAGCTTCTATTTCAACTGGGTATGTTTTAGTTTTTGCATTTTGNCATGGTAGGGTACATAAGCAAGAACTTTATTGAACAAGATAACAGGCTTCTTCAGTTTGATCTTATACTTGAACTCTCCGTTGGGTCCATCTTTTTCCTTGAAAAATTGCACCTTGAACCCTCTTCCGAGTTGCTTCTCCCTGGCAAATTTGGCCCAACCA